GCTGGGCACTGGCAGCTGACTCTGCGCGGAGCGCCGCCTGCAGCGTGGGCAGGTCCGCCTCGCCCTTGCCCACCGCCACCGCCAATCTACCACCCGCGCGCGATCACGTCAGCCGCATATGCGGTGGTCCGTGTGCGGTGTGTGCGGTGTGTGTGTCGTGTCGTGCCGTACCTGAGGGCATGGAAGGTGGTGGAGGTGACGGCGCGGCTGGCCGAGACGAGGCCGTTCGTCCAGGCCGGGTCAGCGTGGTAGTGCGGCCCTGTTGACATGGCCTGCACCCGCTCGGCCTGGCACTCGGCCGCGGCGGCCAGCAGCGCGCCCGCGGCGCCGGCGATGTGCTGGGCCGGCGGGATGAGACCCGGCGGGAGGCCGCCCAGATCGTAGGCCAGGTCCTCCCACCCGCCGGTCTTCGGACCCGCAGGCGGCTTGCGCGGCGCGGCGCCCGTGGAGGTCTCGTGCAGCTGCGTGGCCGCCGCGATCAGCGCCTGCGCCGCCTTCATGATCTCCGCACGCGCCGCCTCGTCCGCTGAAACCGCACGCACACGCGCAATGAGTTGTGTGCGGTGGGTGCGGTGTGGTTGTGCGTGTGCGGTGTACCGGATGATGAGGAGGAGGCGGAGGGTTGCGGGGCGGGTTGCTGCTGCTGCTGCCGGGCCTGCTGGTGGATGGCGAAGAGGGACTTGACTGCGGCGGCGACGCCGGCCGAGGCCTGGCCCAGCCGGTCGCGCAGGGAGGGGTCGTGGGGCGACGCCCCGGTGGCCTCGGCCGCGGCCAGTAGCACGCGGCCCGACTCCAGCGACGCGCGGACCGCACGCAGTGCCGACGCCTAACAGCCGCACACGCACACATGGCCGCACATGCACGACCGCACACGTGAGCGAAGCAAGGCGCGAGGCGATGGGGGCGGGTGGGGGTGGGGAGCACCTGGGCATCGACGCTGGCGAGCTGAGCGGCGGCTTCGACGGAGAGGTCGGACAGGCGCGCGAGGGCCTGCGCGAGCGTCAGGGCCTTGTCGCCGATCGGCCGTCCGTTGGCCGCCTCCGACGACAGCCCGGACGTCGCCTGCCGCAGCGCTTCCACTGCCGCCGCCAGCGCTGCCGCCGCCTCATCTATCATCGCACACGACACACATGACACGACACAACACACGCGTTATTGTGTGCGAGTGGCGTGTCGTTGGTCGTGTCGGGTCGTGCGTGAAGGTTAGAGGCCGGGGGTGGGTCGTTACCGTTGGTCGGCGGCACGGCGCTGCGGGCGAGCAGCTTGCCGGCGCCGACGGACCGGGCCGAGGCCTCGAGTTCGGCCAGCGCCGCGTCGACGCGGGCCAGCGCGGGCTCGACCGCGCGCGCGGCCGAGGCCGACTGCTTCCACATCGAGTCGAGCTCGTCCAGGAAGTCGGGCATGGGCTGCGAGTTCTGCACCACCGCGCCGTGCTGGAGCGACTGCAGATTACCGCCGCCACCGCCATCGCCGCCGCCCGGCTGGCCCGACAGCGCGCGGAAGCGGGCCTCGAGGTCGTCCACCGAGTCCGCGCTCGGAATGGCGCTGGTCCCCTGCGACATGCCGCCCTGCTGCATTCCACCTGTCTCACACACACACACACACACACACACATACATACACACACACACACACACAAGAAACATTTAGTTGCCGCACGCACCGCACACGACACGCGCGCGGGGGGTCGGGGGCACCTTGAGTGAAGTGGGCGGGAGGGAAGGTGGGCGAAGATGGGGACGCGGGGAACTGGCCGGGCGCGGGGTAGTAGACGGCGGAGGGCGGGGCGTGGTGGGGCTGGGGCGGCGAGGTGGGCGGCGGCCCCTGTGCGCCCGGCTGGCCGGACATGGGCGGGTAGCCGTAGGTCGGGAACTGCGGCTGCTGCGCGCCCGGCTGTGGCGTGAGAATCGACGTCGGGAGCATTCCCACCTGCAGACACGACACGACACGACACGACACGACACGACACGACACACGCGCGACCAACGACATACATCAGGAAACAAAAGAACGAAGAGCGCGAAGAGCGAAAACGAAGAGTAAAAAGAGTGAAGGGGGAAGCGGGGGAGGAAAAGAACGTACAGGGACTTCCCAGTCGATGTTGTGCTTCTTGGCGATGGCGGAGAGGTAGTAGTTGATGAGGGCCTCGTCGGGCGGGTTGTGCTGCAGCCGCGAGATGAGCTTCTCGTTGAGGTACCCGTTGCGCTCACAGTCCATCGGAAAGTCCTTCCCGTAGCGCTTGATGAACGCCTTACGCAACTGCAGCGAAAAACAGCAATTAGCATTATTTCATTTATTTATTTATATTTATTTATTTATTTATGCAAATTCAATAAATAATTGAATAAATAAATAAATATAAACCAACCTTGGTCAGTTCCTCCATGGCCAGATAGGGCGCGCAGTAGATAATGTTGCAGACGGCATCCTTCAGCTCAAGAGGACACGTCCTACACACGCACACGCACACACGCACGCACGCACACACGCACGCGTTGCGACCACGTCAGTTTGATCTCGCCACGACGCACGAGCGCGCGCACGACACGCACGGCACAGAACACGAGTGTCTCTTACTTCTGTGCAGAGAGAAGCTGCGCGCGGGAGACGATGGTCTCGCAGTAGACCTCCACCATGTTGAGCGCCTCGATCATGTAGTCCTCGAAAATGACCGACACCGTCTGCACACACACACGTGCCGCCACCAGTGCCATCATCCATCACCACCATCCATCATCATCATCAGCGCAACGACAACAACAACACACAGTCAAGCGCGGTTGCGACCAAGGGGCATGCGGGTGGGAGGGAGGGACCTTGACGCGTGCCAGCTGTTCCTTGTCGGTGGCCAGGAGGTCGGCGATCTGCTTTTTGTGGCGGTTTCCCTCCTCGAGCTTCTTCGTGCGGTGCAATCGCATACGATTGATGGCCAGCTTCAGCTGAATCGAGCTGGCCCCCAGAAATAAAGATTAATCCTATTAAAAAACACGATGAAAAGCTCATCTGCCTTGCCCATGGCATTCTACACAAGACAATAAATGATGAATCGCACAAGCCATATTTTTTTTTACTCGCAGCAGCAACCACCATGCAAAGATGCTGATGATGGCCTACCATTTCTGAGGGAACTTGGCGGCATTGTTGGTCAAGGAAAGGCGCTCCAGCATCTTCGCAGGAGCCTCGTTGCTTCTGATCTGTGTTTCGTTTTTCGTTTTCCTTTTCTTTTTTTACTATTTTATTTTAAATTATGTGGACAGCACATCTCGTGAGATGGCCACCCGCGGCACATGTCTCCTCGTCCCACGGGCAGTTGGTCCGCGCCCACTTGAGCGCCGCGAGCTGCCGGCCTGTAGGCGGAGCAAAAACTCCAATTTTAAATGTTAAAAAATAAATAAATTAGAGATACATGTAAAACAAATAAAAAAAAACACTCTGCGTTTATTACACGTGATCCGATGGGAAGGGAGGGTCATCAGTAGGCTGAGGGTTGCCCGCCGACGGCGGCTGGTGGTGATGAAGGGCGTGGATGGCCGCCAAGAGGGAGGCAAAGTGCACTGGCTTGGTCAAGTGCAGCTCGAACCCCGCGTCGGCGCTCCGCTGCACGTCCTCGTCCATGCCGTAGCCCGACAGCGCAATACCCTGCAAGCGCACCACATGTCGTGAGCACACACCGCACACACATCACCGCACACGCATCACCGCACACGACGCAACACGCAACATGCACCACGACACGATCAATGACCAACAACACGACACGACTGGGGGTACCTTGAGGTTGTACTTGGCCTTGAGGGTGGTCATGAGCTGGAGGCCCGTGCCGTCGGGCAGGCCGATGTCGCTGATGACCAGGTCGAACTCGCCCCGGGCCTCGTCCGCCGCGCGCAGGGCGTCGCCCACGCTCGAGGCCACCACCACGTCGTAGTTCAGCTTCTGGCGCAGCAGCCGCGACATGATCACCAGCGTGCTCTTGTTGTCCTCGACCAGCAGCACCTGCCATTGTTGTCGGCCCACCACCACCACTGCGTGAGCCCAAGCAATGCCGAATGGGTGTCGCCAGGGCTGGCGTTGGGTGTACCTTGAGGTCGCGTGGCGGCGGTGGGCCGGGCGAGCCGGCGGCGCCACGCGGGGAGGTGGGCGGCGAGAAGGAGTTGGAGGCCGGGATGACGGTGGGCAGGGACGAGGAGGACGAGAGCGGGGAGAAACCGCTGCTTTCGCCGCCGCTGCTGATGCTGTCGACAGAATAGCTCGATTTGAGTTGGCTGACGTTGTCGACACTCCCCCCGCTAGAGGCAGAGACAAGCCCGACAGCGACAGCGGCGTCGGCGAGACTCGGCACTGGGGAAGAGGCGCGTGACGACGAAGCCGAAGCCAACGGCGACGACGAAGACGATGATGAAGAGGAGGAGGAGGAGGACGGAGTGAGCAGCTTGATCTCCGCCGAGCCCAGCGAAGTGCGACCCGTCGGCGACGGCAGCGCCCCGCCCTTGAACTGCGCGGTACACAGAGTCGGTTAGGAATCGCTAGAGAATGAAAGGAGGCGGCGGGCCGTACGACTGGGAGGTGGATGGTGAAGGTGGCGCCCTTGTTCTTGCCCTGGCTTGCCGCGCTCAGCGTGCCCTGGTGCATCTCCACCAGCGATCTGCTCCCCCCCCCATTCACGCATGGGTGAGCATCACAGCGTGTGTCGTGTCGTGTCGTGTGTGGTACCGTGAGATGGAGAGGCCGAGGCCGAGGCCGCCGAAGCGCACGGTGATGGAGGCGTCGCCCTGCTCGAAGGCGCGGAAGAGGTGCGGCAAGACGTGGTCCTCGATGCCGATGCCCGTGTCCATGATCTCGACGGCGAGCATGAGCCGCCGCTTCGCTTCCTTAGCCTCCCTGGCCTCCTTCTCTTTACCGCCGCCGCCGCCGCCGCCGCACGTGCCGTGGGGCTGGATTCGCTTCCGCATTTCCTGAATCATTTCATTCTTTTTCTTCTCCTTCTCCGAGGGCACGGCGTCGTCGTCTACGGCCTCGTAGTTGCGCGTGCGGATCGCGATGGCGCCGCCCTCCGGCGTGAATTTGATCGCGTTCTTCGTGATGTTCCAAAACACCTGCTGCAGCCTACATCGTCGCCGCACACGCCGCACACAGCACACGAAGAGGTCAGGTGAAATGCGTCTGGCGGGCACCGGGGGGGGGATGTACCGTGCGGGATCGGCGTTGAGTCGGTCGATGGTGGCGGCGAAGTCGGTAGAGACGTGGAGCTTCTTGAGCTTGATCTCGTGTCCCACGATCTGCAGCGTGCGACTCAACAGCTCGTGCGCCACCACCTCTTGCAAGTGTAGCTCCAATTTGTTCCTGTACCACACACACACACACAACACGTGAATATAGTGTAGCCATCAATGCGAGTGTTGTGTCGAGGTACCGCGAGATCTTGGTGAGGTCGAGCAGGTCGTCGATGAGCTGCACCTCCAGCTCCACCGACTCGTGGATCATCCGCACATTCTCTTCGGCCTGTGGCGGCAGTCCCTCTCCTGCGCAAATATAGGCACACGCATTCCATGCATTTCAAAGTAAATTGAACGCCCCCAAAGAGTTTGATGGTTAAGGTGGCGCGGTACGGACCGAGGAGGGACTCGGAAAGCAGGAGCGCGGGCGTGAGCGGTGTGCGGAGTTCGTGGGAGAGGGCCGCGAGGAAGTGGTCCTTGGCGTGGTTCGCCCTCTCGGCCTCATGATACAGGCGCGCGTTGTCAATCGCCATCGACGCTCGTCGCGCCAGCTCCTCGCCCGTCGCAATGTCCTCGTGCTGCACTCACATTTTTGAGTCACACCGCACACAACCGCACACAACACACAACCGCACACGACACATGACACGCGACACACGCGACATACAACCGCACACGACACAACCGCACGAGAGGAAGAAGGTACGTGGAAGCCAGACTGAAGGAACGGGTGTCGGGCGAAGAGCCAGCAGCCGAAGATCTTGCCGCGGCCTTCGAGGTAGCACACGAAGAAGTCGTCGGGGTTGGGCAACCCGCACTCGATCCCCACGCGCTCTCCGTTGCACAGCTCCAGCTCCTTGAAGTACTTCTTGCCGCCCGTCACCCTCTTGCCCTTGTCCCCCGCTGCTGGCGATGGGAGCTTGTGCAGCTGCCAGAGCTGGGTGGCGGCCTGGGGCGTGGCGATGCGCTGTAGGGTGTTGTTCTCGGCGACCACGTCGAGAATGCACCAGTCCGCCACCACCGAACCTGTCATAGCAGCGCGGGTGCGTGAACTTAGTTTTTTGAATAGTCTCAACAACGCAGGCAGCCGCGCGTGGTCGGTTGTATTGGCTGTGGTTGGTACCTGCGATGATCTTGAGAGCGCCGGAGAGCAGCGAGGGCAGATGGCTGTCGACGCTGGCCGACAGCAACCGACCGACCTGGGACATAAGGCCGAGCCGGATCTCGGACTTCTTTCGCGCGGTGACGTCGATCGTGTACAGCGTGACGCCTCCGTCGGCTCCCGGATAAATCCGGCTCTCGTACCAGCGGTCCCGGTTGTTGTAGTAATAGTCGAACACGAGGTCCACCTTCTCCTTCACCGCCCGCTCCAGGTTGCGTCGCACCACGCGGTCCTCCGTGTCGACCATGAATCGCCACACGTTGTGGCCCACCATATCTAATGTACGACACGACACGCGCACATCACGTTAAGACACGCACGACACGCACGACACGCACGACACGCACGACACGCACATACCCTCTTTCTTGGCGCCGAGAAGTAAGGCGGCGTTGGTGTTGACGAACGAGTAGCGCAGCCGGGCGTCGAGCGACACGAAGGCGTCCTGGATCGAGGCCAGGATGCGCTCGAGCCGCTCCTTGCCCTCGGCCACGTCCATCCTCAGCGTGTGCTCGGTGTCGGCCGCCTCCATGCGCATGCGGGCCATCCGCAGGTGCGACGACACGCGGGACAGCAGCTCGCGCGCGGTGAAGGGCTTGATGAGGTAGTCGTCGGCCCCCTCGGCCAGGCCCTCGGCGCTGGCCTCCTCGCCTGCTCGCGCCGACAGCATAATCACCGGCAACATGCGCGTCTCGTCTCGCGACCTATCGTGCCATGATCAGTGTCGTGTGTCGTGTGTCGTGTGTCGTGGGTCGTGGGTCGTGGGTCGTGGGTCGTGGGTCGTGGGTCGTGGGTCGTGGGTCGTGTGTCGTGTGTCGTGTGTCGTGTGTCGTGTGTCGTGTGTCGTGTGTCGTGTGTCGTGTGTCGTGTGTCGTGTGTCGTGTGTCGTGTGTCGTGTGTCGTGTGTCGTGTGTCGTGTGTCGTGTGTCGTGTGTCGTGTGTCGTGTGTCGTGTGTCGTGTGTCGTGTGTCGTGTGTCGTGTGTCGTGTGTCGTACCGAAGCTCTTTGAGGAGTCCAAAAACCGTCCAGGAAGGGCATCATGACATCGGTCAGTACTAGGTCGATGGCATTCGGCCCGGATCGCAGCACGCTCAGCGCTTCCAAACCTGCGCGGATGCGGGCGATTGTTAGCCTGTCAATGGTCGCAGTGCGTGGCTTCGAGAGGAGGTGGTGGTAGTGGTGACGTACCATTGGCGGCGCTGATGACTTCGTACTTGGTGCTCAGTAGTCGCGCGACGTATTCGCGCATATCAAAATTGTCGTCCACCAGCAGCACTCGCGCCTTGGTGTCCTTGCCTCTCTGCAATTGGTTGGGTGGCGTGAGTGGGTCATGCTGACGTCACGCAACGACGAAGCCGTCGGCAAAGAATGTGGCGGAGGAATGTGCGGGAGGAATGTGTGGAGGAATGCGCACTTTCTTTTTGGACCGCTTGCTGTGCTTGTCGGAGAGCACGCTGAAGGTGGAGGCCGTGCGCGATCGCGGCGACGACGGCATCTCCGGCGACGAGGACGACGGTGACGACGACAGCGACAGCACGGGCGACGACGAGGCCGACGATGACGATGACGAAGACGACGACGACGACGAGGCCGACGACATCGACGAGCTGTTGCGCGACGACGACGAGGCCGCGATCGGGATCGAGGGCAGCCACCACGACGCCGTCTTCGAGTAGTTGCGGGCGTCGGCCAGCGACGTGTCGTACTCGTCCGCGTTCGCATTCGTCGGCTGCGGCTGGTGCGGCGGCAGCTGCGGCTGGCCGCCCTCGGGGAGGTGATGGCGAGGCGAGGCTGGGTACTTCGCGGACGCCGCAAAGGCCGCGGGCAGGGTCCGCACGATGCGCTTGATCTGATTGGCCGGCAGGTGCTGCGTGCCAAACGGAAGCCGCACCCGAAACGTGGAGCCTGATTGGGGGAGGGGGCGTAAGAACAACCAATCACCACCAATCCCCTTGTTGGAGCGATCCCATAATCGCAGCGTGTGCGCTCGGTGGGCGTACCCTTGCCCAATTTGCTTTCCACCGACACGGTGCCGCCGTGGAGGCGCACCAACTCGAAGACCAGGGCTAGACCTGTGAGGTGCGTGTCGTACGTTGGTGAGCCCCGCGTCGCACACGTGTGTTGGACGCGTGAGAGGAAAGATCAGCGCTTGGGAGGGGTAAGTGGTGGGATGCGACGCGATGGGACGGCGCACGTGCCTATGCCAGTGCCCTCGTGCGAGCGGCCGCCGGGCGTCTGCACGCGATGGAAACGTTTGCCCAACAGGGGCACCTCCTCGGACGGAATGCCGATGCCCGTATCCTGCACCGCCAGCTCGGCGTGCGTTTCTATATATATACATGTCAGACGGTGGCGCACAAATTCGTGTCAAACGGCAACACAGTGCATGCGTGCGGTTGTTGTGTGTTATGTTGTGTGTTGTGTGTTGCGTGTCGTTGGTCGTGTCGTGCGCACAGGTCGAAAGAAAGAAAGAAAGAAAGAAAGAAAGAAAGAAAGAAAGAAAGAGTACCGGAGATGGCCTTGGTGCTGATGCGAATGTAGCCGTGCATGGTGAACTTGAGCGCGTTGGAGAGCAGGTTGAGCACGATCTTCTCCCACATGTCCTTGTCCACGTAGACCGCCTGCTCCAGCTCCGAGCAATCCACCAACAGGTCTAGCCCCGCTCTGTGTGTTCGCAAACTCGACCTTCAGCACCAACGCACACGCACACACGCGCACGCGCACGCGCGATTACCTTTCGGTGGCCGAGCGGAAAATTGAGGCGAGGTCCTGGGTGAAGGCGCTGAGGTCGACCGGCTCGAAGACGGCGCGCGCCCGGCCAGCTTCGATGCGCGAGAAATCGAGCAGTGAGTTGACCAGCTTGTACAGTCGCAGCGCGTTACGATGAATGAGCATCAGCTGCTCCTTCTCGAGCTGCAGCTCGGCACTGTCCATCAGATCCTGTGTGGTGGTGTGTGTGTGGTGCGTGCGTGCGCACACGTGTTTGCTGGTAAGCAAGTGTCATGCGACACCGAGGGCACACAGGCGGAGACAGCGGCGAACGCACCTCGAGAGGGCCGAGCATGAGCGTGAGTGGCGTTCGGAACTCGTGCGAAATATTGGAGAAAAAGGTGGTCTTGGCTCGGTCCAACTCAGCCAAGGACTGTACAGAAACACACAACAACAGCTCGTATCAGTCGGGTGGCGCAGAATATGGGTTCGAGCCAGGAGAGAGGAGGGCGCACCTCTGCTCGCTTTCGTTCCTCCTCGCGCGCCATGGCATTGGTCACAGCCGACGCGGCATGCCCGGTGAACAAATTGTAAAATATCCTAAAATGGTGGTGAGCACACAATGCATAAATATATCTCTTTTAACCTAGCTATTTTTTTAATTCAATAAATAATAGATAGATAAATAGATAAATAATCGAAATTAATGGGTACCGGTAGTTGTCGTCTAGCTCGTGTCGTGGGTTCACGCCAGCTACAAGAATCCCCACCACCTTGTCCGCATCCGTTTGCGACAGCATCGGAAATATAACACACGACCTGGACAAAAGCAACGTCAGCGCATCGGTGGCAGTGTGTGTCGTGTGTGTCGTGTGTGGTGTCGTGCAAGAGCGGTGAGTACCTGGGCCGATCTTCCCAAGCCACACACAGTGGCACTTCCTCGCCGAACTGGGTGAGGTCGAGGAACTGCGAAGTGCGTGTCGTCACGACCTCGTGAAACAGGGCGCACCAGAACCCGCCCTGCTCCTCCTCTCGATCCTCACCTGCGCTGCTGCTGCCACTACTCCCATCGCTGTCGCTGCTGCGAGGGCAGAGTTAGCCATGACAACCCACCAGCCAAGCAGAGCCGTGTGTGTCGTTGTGTGTCGTTGTGTGGCTACTTACGACTGGCTTAGTCGAGGGATGGTGACGATGTAGGGGCACAGTACGGAGCCCTTCTCCTGCCGTCCGACGACTTCCTCCAGGAACGCGTGCTTCATGCCCTCGTCGAGCAGGTACAAATTGGCAAAGGGGATGTCCCACCTGGCCACCCACCGCACACGGGAGGAGGGAGGGTACCCGATCAGGTGAGTAATCGGCCCAGAACAAGGTACAGATCGTGCGTAGGACGCGATGCGTACTTTCCCGATGAGCTGATGACCTCGGCTGTGATGTGTAGCGCACCCTTGGCCGATTCTGCATCTGCTCCTCGAGCAGCCAGGTCGCGCAGCGCTCTGTGTGCGGATTGCCCCCGGCCAGTTCGGTTAGTGAATGGATTGATTGCGGGGCAGGGCTCCCTGGCGAGTGCGAGAGCCGTAGTACCGCAGCTGACGCTCGCCAATGACGCGTGACGTGGTCTCCGAGCAGGAACAGAAGATGCCGCCGACCGAGTTGTCCTCGAGGAACAAAGGGCTGTAGGAGAAGGTGAAGTAGGCCTCCTGCAAAAAGAACCGAAGAAGAACGAAGAAGAGAGGCGCGGTTTAGTTGTTAAAACATCATTAACGGTTAAGGTGTGATGTGTTGATGGACGATGCTAGTTGACTCACCTCAAGGTAGCCAAACCGGTCCACGCAATTCAGCTGGTCTTCGATCCAGTTGGCCTTCTTGGAAAAGGTGACGCCGTCGAGCAACGGCCTCTGCTGCTCCCAAATCGTGCTCCAGCACACCGAATAGGGCGTGCCTGTGCGCAGGAGTCAAGTTGTTGTAGATCAACTCAGCACGGTTGTCGTGTGTGTGTGGTGTGCGTGTGTGTAGGTGTCGCGGAAAGCACACATACCAAGGTATGCCGGGTGTTTGTCGCCCATTGTGTGTCGATACCCGTCATTGTAGATCACCCTGTATTCTGGCCCCCAGAAAAGGACCTGATGGTTCACACATTATGGCCGCATAGCACGACACGACACGACACACGGCAGTTGAGTAAATAGGAGGGCACAAGGCTCTAGAGCCTCGGCAGTGGCAGAGTTGCGACGTACAACTGAGTAGCGGGACCAGAGGCACACTGTGAGCGCAATCTTGAGCGCAAGCGGCCATTGCGAGAGCGGACCCAGGGGTGTCTGTGACCAGTCCTTGTTCCTAGAGAGAGAGAGAGAGAGAGAGAGTGCACGAAACGTGCAGGGTCAGTGCAGACTTCCTCATCTATCACAGAACACAAATAGCACTGATACTGATGACGCACTTGATGATGGTGGCCAGTTCGCCGGGCGCCGAGAGCCAGTGCTCCATCTCGGGCTGCGCCCGTCGCCGCTCTTTTCGGTTCGCACCCTTTCCCGCCACCGCGAGGGCCTTGCCGTGTGCCCGATTCTTCTCCAGAGGTGTGTTCGCCTTCGGTGGTTGCGGGCTGCTGCTGGTGTCCTGCTCTCGCCTCTGCCCAAAGAATAGACAGCACAGGAAAGTGTGAGCGCATGACGATAGATATGATCGCAACCATCTGGCGTTAGACTTCAACAAACACACACCACATGCGACGTATACCTCGTTGTCGCAGCTCACTTGCGGGCTTGTGTTGGTTGAGGAGGATGGGGAAAGAAGGTGGTCACTGGTGTAGTTGTCTAGTTTACACACGCGCACGACTTGTCGCAGACAGTCGAGCACGAGGCCCTGCACGTGCTGATGTTCGTGGTGGAGCAGCTCGGGCTTGGTCAGCTCCGCCACGATGGCATCGAAGGAGAGCTGCTCGTCGGGTCGCAGCTGCTGCGTCACCGCCGACAGCACCGCCAGCACTTGCTGCAAATCGTAATAATTCGTGTAGCGTGATTTTAGCACCAAAATGGTTGAATTACGATTGCAATGAACAAATTATTGGACAGAGAATCGCGTTGGGCAAAGAAAAATGGATGTGGATGAAAGGGTGGTTCAAGATGAAGCGATTGGCATACCCCCAGGTTGTTCTCGAGGGCTTCTACGCTGAGCGAGGGCGCCAGCAAGGACGGATCCATCATCGCCCAAACGGCGGGCGACACGTACGGGATGGGGACTGAGGATGTGAATTGGAGGTTTCGCTCCTCCCGCTCCCCCGTCGCCACCGTCGCCGTTTGTTGTTCCATCGTCAATCTCGGGCAGTCCCGTCCTCCCGATGGATTCAACCACGAGATCTAACCGAAATCAACCCTCGACACCAGGTGGGGGCGTGCTCTGTTGGCCTCGCGCGCTCAATGGATCAAGACCAGGTCTGAGCTGTCGAGCTCACTCTTTACCTTTCTTCTCCAACTAAGCTCCCCTCCTTCTTCTTCTTCTTCTGTCTCCACTTCGCTCCTTTCGTCGCAAAAAAAGAACGAAAGGCTGCTGCCCCTTGGCCAAGGGCAACACCGAGAGCCCCAACAGTGGAGCCGTTGGCGCGGCGGAAGAGCCCCGTCGTACTTCAGTTCGAGCGGCTGACCACAGCTATTTGGCCCTGGCTCTTCCCGATGCAACATACGGGATTTCGGTATCGTCGCAAGCGCATGTGCGGCCGTTGATGGGAGGAAAGGTGCCACGAGGGAGGGCAAATGCTTGGAATAGTTGGCTCATTTTTTTATTTATTTTATTTGTACACAAGAGATGAGGAGGGGAGCGTGGGGTGGCTGCCGTTCTTCTCTGAGGTTGGCTCGGCCGCCGCGAGGGGGCTCGCGCTTGCTCGCGCCTTGTTTGCGGGCTTTTTCCTCACAAGCTGCCACTGGTGCCGACGAGGCGCCGTGGCTGCACCGGCTCGCCTCGCTTCCAGCCCACCCCCGGCTCTCGTCCGCTTCGGTGCCCTCCTCCCTCCTCCCTCCCTTCTTCTTCTTCTGGTCCAGGCCAGGCGACAGGCTTGCCTGCGAGGATGCGGCTCACATCAGCTGCCTTCTCTCTGTATTGTGCCTCAGGCGAGCGTGGCGGCGACGAAAGACCCAAGCGAGCGCCTGCGCGGCTTGGTCGCCCTGCGTGCCTCCTTGATGGTACCTACAGCGCCTGCGTACGGTGTGCCGCGCGTGGCCAAGTGCGCTGATGAAGACACGCACTTTTTCTCCGTTCAAACAGCAAACGATCAGACACGCGCGCGACCCGAACGAGCAGCACTTGAGGAACGAGCTGCGCGCCATCGCGGACGGACTGAAGGATGTGCTGAGCGAGCGCTTCGATCCGCATTCGCTCCTCCTGACGCAAATCGAACGCACCTCACCACTCACTGTGCTCCAGAAGGTGCGTCTCCCGCACGTCACACGTGTGATCGCCAAGAGAAACGCTCAACACTCTTTCGCAGGTGGTCGACACCGAGTCCGTCCACCCGTTGGCCTCAGTCGACGCCTTCAAAGCCCGGCTGGGCAAAGGCAGAAAGTGCTGGGCCTTCTTCCATCCACTGCTCCCCGAGGTGCTGCCTCTGTCAATTCCCTGCACCGCAAGGCACCGTTGAGAGAATTCCTGACGGACAATGCGCATCCTCGTCCAGGAACCGCTCGTTTACATCAACGTCGCGTTCGAGCCCAGGATTGCCACCTCCATGAAGGTACGCACTGGAACACGATTCGGTGTGTAGATCATCATGATTTTCACCTCAATAGACGCTTCTTCTGTTCGGGTGAACAGGAGATCTACCTCGATGAAGCTCAGAGGCTGGACCCCGAAGAAGCGAAAGCGGCCATCTTCTATTCGATTGTGACGACTCAACCCGGTACGGACACTAGCGCGGATCGACCCGACTCGAAGCCTCAGCTTTTCTAACTTTACCACTTTCATGTGTTCGTAGGTCTCAAGGGTGTCGATCTGCCGCACCAGCTCATCAAGTGGACATCGCGTTACCTCCACCAACAGTACAAAGGTGCGGCCAAGTCCGAGATAGGGTTGGTGCCGGACTGGTGAGGCAGCTGATTGTCCCTGTTCGTGGCCCGTCAGGCCTTACGGAGTTCAGCACTCTCTCGCCTATTCCTGGCTTCATGCCTTGGCTTCGGCTCTCGCTTTCCTCGCCCAGCCCCTCCAGCCCATCGCTCGCCGAGCGGAAAGGTACGTAATCAACACGTTTGGATCCTTGCACCACTGAGACGGTGACCGTTCATGTGCGTACAGCGTGGCTCAAGGCGATGCTGCCAGCCAAGGTAGAGGTCGTGGCAAAGGAGCTTGGCATCTCTTCTTCCGTACCGCCTCAGGAAGCGCTCGTGGTGCGTGAAGCCTTTTCACAGCACCATCAACAACGAATGCACTCACACCACACCATTCTCTGCTCTCTCCAGGAAGCGCTGGAGAATCATCGTTGGTTCGAGAACGAGCGCGTAGTGGGGGCCCTGCAGCCGCTCATGCTGCGCCTGTGCGCTCACTATGTCATCACCGAAAGGGCCGTCAATGGGTCCACCCAAGCCCTCGATCGCGTGCGTGACCTGCCCTTACCACTCTCGAGCAAGCCTATTGGTCGTACTTAGCGTTGCATTGTAAAAACCATTGCAGGTGGCCAACTTCCATCTGGGCAATGGCGCCTACGTGCACGGACTCAACTGGATGGCCGACCTGGCACCGCTGCGCCTGAGCGAGTCGGCCAGCCTGATGGCCAACTACAAGTACCCCAGCCCGGCCGACGCGACCACCGGCGCCGCCGACGCTGCGCTCTACCACCGGGAGGGCATCATCAAGGCGTCGCCCGACGTCGAAGCTCTCCTGCGCGATCGGTGGTAGTCCTTTTATTGTGTGGTTGCGCACTAACATTAATAAATCTATTTATTATTGACAGCTTTTTCTCGTTCTTGATTTATTTTCCAATTTATTATTAGTTATTGATAATGTTAACATTGTTATCTCGAATAATTTGTGGCATTTTTCCTTTGACCATCAATGGCGCATAGCTCGGGAGAGGACTGGAAAAGCCGTCGGCTTTCGTGGGCGAGCGCGCTGAACAAGAGGGGCACTGGAGGTGGCGACCACCAGATAGCTACCAGCACCCAAACGTCTCTCCTGGCACGAACGCGGTTGAGGAGGTCGCATTTGAAAGGGAGAAAGGAAGAAGGGCAATAACAAGAAGAAAGCACGCGAACAACAGGACCAGAAGTGATTTGCAGAGGATTTGCAAAGAGCTCGCGTCCCAGGTGCCGCAGTCTCCAACCAAAGTACCAAATAACCTCCACTTGCCATGTCGGTGAAGTAGAAAGAGAACGTGAAAGGGGGGGGGGCATGTCGAACTCTGTCTTCTACGCGTGAGGTCTCCAACAAAGCGATAACGCAACTTTCCTCTTTGCAGGAATGGACAGGTCCTCGTTCAGTGGCCTACCAGGGCAGGCCATGCACCAGGAGCAGCAACAGCGGCAACAACAACAGCACCAAGAGGACATGGAGTCGATGTGGGCAGCGGCTACAGCACAGCCCGACTACTACTCGACCTCTGACGCCGCCGCCAGCCAGCTGCACGCCCAGCTGCCCGCCCACCTGCCCACCGGTGGGGGCAGTACGTCTTCGTCATCGGGCGGTGGTGGCGGCGGCCTCCCCAGCCTGGCCCCGCTCTACCCCCTGCCCTCCACCCCAATGCCCAACTTTGACATGCCGCTCCAGGGCGGCGGGATGCGCATGAACGTCGGTACGGTGCCCATGTACTGCTGGTGCTCGTGTGGTCGAAGCTCATCGTGGTGGGGCGCGTGCAGGGGGAATGATGATGGGCGAGGTGGAAGCGGAGTCGAGAGGTGGAGCCGTCGCGCAGTTCAGGCCGCGAGAGGTGATCCCCCTGTTCGACATCGCCCTCGGGGCATCCGGTACGCGATGCCAAAGCTGTGCGCTCGTAGTCGGTGTACCGTGTCTTCTAAGACTTGGGTGCTCGTTCTATGGGCGGATTACACGCGCAGCGCCGATCATTCCCGCTCTGTCGCGGCCAGCCTTTGCGCGAGACGGCAGCGGCCGCTTCCTCTGCGGCACCGAAGAACAGCATCCCCAGCGGTAGGATTCGCTCTCTCAGCGGCCTCTCGACCACCACATGAGCACATCAGACGCCCTTCTCACCACGATCGTTTTCCTGGACTGTGCGTGCAGGTCAAAGAGCAACTATCTGATATTCGGTAGAATGGATCCCAACACGGGGAAGCTGATGACAAGGAACGGCTCGCCGGACGTTTGGACGCAGCCCATCAGCAATGTACGTGAGACCTCCCTTGTGTGGACGAGCAAAGCCCCATCTCATATGTTACACATGGCGGTGGCGGTGCCACCATCTCAGCACGTGCGAGACATACAATGGGTGGACGAGCAGCTCATGATCGTGGCCATCGCCAGCACGCTCATTCTCATGCGCCTGCCGCAGCACACCCGCGCCGATCTCGCGACCATCAACTTTCCTCCTTTTCACAAGGTACACCAACTCTCCGCCCATGGCACCATGGCTGAGACAGCATTTCATTCGTCCTCATTTGTGCTCTCTCCTTGCAGGACTTTATACGGGAGATTGCCGTCTCGCCGGCGAAACGAAACCTCTTGCTCTCCGGCGGCTTCGACGGTTCCGTGTTTGGTTCGACTCACCTCGGCTACTTCTTTCTTGGCCGACACGCTGACCCTTTCGTATTTACCTGTCGTAACACAACACAGTGACGGACATCAGTCGATTATGCGAGGACATCACCACCGATCAGCAGCACAGCGAGAACAGCATCTACCCGTGCGGCGAAGTGGTGGGCAGTGTGGGGTGGCACCCGACCAGTACGTCCCCCGAAACCGCCACACATGTGATCCGTCTCCCGACTCTTCTAGTCTGACACCCGCTCGGCACCTGTGTTTGGTGTGCAGATCCGTGGTTGGCCTCGTGCACGACCGATCCGGGCACGCTCCACATCTTCGACATACGCACCGATTCGGGAGGCGTGAATGCGGCGAGCGACCGGGCGCGCCAGTCTCTGCTCTACAACACCACCAAACCCGAGCTCTACACTCACGCATATTGCGATGAATACACCATCCTCCTCGGCTACGGTAAACCCCCTCCCAGCCGCACGACATGCACGACACGCACATCATGCTTACGCCCCCTCTCCCCGACCTTAGGTGACGGGCAGATCCACACCTTCGACACGCGCATGCAGCGAACCACCCAAGTATTCCAGGTATGGTGAGCTACGCGTGTGGCTTGCGCTGCTGATCGAAGATGCTAAAGACATGTCGCCCGCTGTGCAGGATCCCTACCAGCGCCAGATCGGCGAGATCAAGGTGGACGGTGGCGGCGTGTTCGCCACGTTTGGCGTGCCCGAGGTCACGCTTTGGAAAGTGGGAGAGTCACGCAGCTTTCAAGTCTGGTACGGCCTCACTGCGCCTCTTCTATCGAGCAAACGCAGCTCTTGTGACTCGGCTGTAACCCACACCTTGTGCAGGGGCCACAACAACATGTGTCCGCCGCAGCTGCCAAACAACATGTCCTACAAGACCTCGGGCGAGTTTCTCTCGCACAGCTCGGCCCTGGCCGTTACCGATTCGTACGACAAGCCCGTCACCTTTGTTTCCAGTTCCACTCCCTCCACTCACCCACCGCCTCTTGACCATCAGAAACGGGCTGCTGTCCTACTATCAGATCCCGCCGGTGTTGTAGGTCCCAACGCGCTCTTGAGTCGGTGGATCCTCTCCTGCTTCTTTTCCTCTACGCTTCTCTTCCTCAAGCGGGTGTACAGTCCTTCTTTGGCTTTGCTGACGTGGCCCATAAATAAATCGAAAGAAAAATTGCATTTCTCTCTTTCCGGACATTGCCTGCATCAACAGTAGGAGAGTAAGGAGAGCATGAGGCGTTCGGCGACGGACGTGGTTCGCGGGCACTTGCTCGGCAATGCGACGAGGTACTGTCGTTGGAAGAAGTGGCTTTCGCACATTTCATGTTTTTAGCATAGCATCGCGATTTTCCTCGAATTGAATCCTCCAATCGATTTCATCATTCAGAGGCGGCAACGCCGCTTTCTCGCTGCCCACAATCGCGCCGTGCGAGCGACCATCATATACACTGTTGCCGCACCACCGGCGCAGCTTCCGCTCCGCTGCAGCTCCGTGTGCGTGGTTGTCACACGCCCGTGGGCCAGCTGCGTCGTTCGCGACGTCAGGCCGCCGCCGTCCGTCACTGCTCGTGTTCGGCTCGTCCGTGGCCTGGACTCGCACTGCCGTGACTGCAGGCAACCCCGAGCGCGGCCACACCCGATCCTACGGTTTTTTCCCCCCACCTTCGTCCTTCCTCTCAGTAGTCGAGTTCGCTCATATCCCTTCGTGTGCGATGGTGTGTCGTGTGTGTCGTGTGTGTCGTGTGTGTCGTGTGTGTCGTGTGTCGACGCAGCGATGGGACACGAGATGTACTCCAAGGACTTGTACAACATTCTGGGGATCAAGGACGCCGCATCGCAGGAGGAGATCAAAACCGCGTTCTACAAGGTACATCAGAGCGTTGTAAGTCTATCTTGGCTCAAGCTGACCTTTTTTTGTGTTCGTCTTGTGCAACACAACCCGCACCGATCCGTACAGAAAGCGAAGGAGTACCACCCGGACATGAACAAAGAGAACCCCAACGCCCAGAAGAAGTTTGTGGAGGCGACGAGCGCTTATGAGATCTTGAGGGACACCAAGAAGAGACAGGAGTACGACGGCATGCGACGAATGCGCTCAAGCAGGTGCGAGCTCACGCTTCTCCCACCACCGCACACGGCACACGACACACTGACACATTATGTCTGTATGCAGCTCGTCGACGTATACGTCGTACACGCATCAATCCGACTACACCAACTACGGGGCCGGCGGTGCCAGGGCGGGCCGCACCGGGCGCGCCGACGACTTCACGGCGTACGGCATGGGTGGCATGGGCCACGAGGACTTCTCCCGGTGGTACCGACAGCGGAGCGACATCTTCGACGACTTCGAGAAGATGTTCAAAGACGTACGTCACCCTTCCTTTCTTCTTCTTCTTCTTTACGCCTCTTCGTCGTCGTCTTCTTCATCAACTACGACCACCGAGCAGATAGCGGACATGATGAGCAAGAAGATGAGGTCCAAGTGGTATCAGATGTGCGAGAACGGGGAGGTGGATCTCGAGGACATCTACGACATCTACGGGGC